AAACGGCCAAAAAAAAAAAAAAAAAAAAAAAAAAAAAAAAAAAAAAAAAAAGATCTGGGATAATACTGGTGATGATTTTCAGAATGCTGTGTTTTTGTGTATATGAGACTTGGTGGACAGGGCAAGGTTTGATTTTTCCTTAGGCACCTGAGAAGGCAGAGTTCTTTTATGGAGGTTCTATTTTCCATGATCAATCAGCTTGTGAAGGAAGAAGAGACTGTTTAGAAAGAAAAAGCACTTCCCCACCAACTCCTACTGCCATACTTTCTCCGTCATGTTGAAGTTAAAATAATTTTTCTATCTCTATTTTTTCCCTGCTTACAAAAACTAGTATTTTCACTGTAAAAATCCAAATATCATGGAATGCCATTTAGAATGTTAGGATTTTCCATTGTCCACTGTTAAGTTAAAAATAACATTGGCAAAGGAAAAAGCTTAGAAGAGTTTAGGAACGGAATAAAGAAAATGTAATATAGAAACAAAGGTGGTTGATCAGTGATTGCTGTGTCCATTTGATTCCCTAACATTAATTTGAGTGCCTTTTATGGGCCGAGAATTGCTAGTCATCCTGGGGATGCAGAGATAACTGAGATAACCAAAGCGTTTCTCTAAGAGGAAAGAAAGTCAAATACAAGTTAGAAAAGTACATGTGTCATAAAAATTATAGAGATATGATGGTATAGGCATTCCAAGTTTTATTTCCGGCTGGGTAGACAAAGCAAGAGTTTGAGAGTAAATTTATATTCCAAGTCTGAATAGATTCTAAATAAGAAATGCCTGAGCTGAAGGGCATTCTAGGCAGTAAAAACTGTGAGCAATGCAGAAAAAAGTTCGGTTTGTGTGGAGCTTAGAGCATGTGAAGAAGTAGTGAGAAATAAGTCAGAGGGAATGTGGGGGCCAGATTGTGGGAGAGACTTCAATGCTAGGCTCAGTAGTTTGGAGCTTCTGCTTTAGGCCAGTGTTTCTCAAAGTGTGATCTATAAACCTATAGATGCGTCAGCTGGTATTCTAGTAAAAATGCAAATTCTATGGCTCCTATCCCAGACCTGAATCAGTCTCCTGGGCCTGGGGCCTGGGCATCTGACATTGGGATGCCATTCAAGGTTTTTGAGGTAGAAGTGAGAGTAGTGGGTACTCTGTCTAAAATTGCAGATCTTAGCCCCCAACACACTCCCTATCTCTCTTTGCTTTATTTTTCTCTGTAGTGCTTATACCATCTAACATATTATATATTTTGTTTGTTTTCCTCCTACTAGAATTAAGCTTCATGAACAGAGTTCTGTATGTTTTGTTCATTGCTGTGCCCCAGAACTGGGAAAAGTGCCTGACATTTTTGTTGATTGGATGGATGAAAGAATATTGTGAAAAATGGTTTGAAGCAGATGAGGCCAGTGGCAGAAAGATTCATTTCAAAATGGTTAAAAAAAATTGCTTAAAATATGGAAAAATGAACATATTATTTTAAGTGTAGAAAGAAATAAGTACAGTATTATTCCAGTTTTGGAGACAAATACTCTCTGAAGGCCGTTTCTCTAAGTTCATCCTGACTGTATTTTTATTTGAATAATTTTGAAACTGCGTTTTATCCATTTGCTATGATCACAAATTCATTTTCCTGAAGTTTACACTTTTCTCTCTTAGATTTTATATTTTTATTGCTTTGGAATTCCCATAGTTACCTTTCAATTTGGGATGCCTAATTGATAATTTGTGTGTGTTGAATGAATGTTAAATTCCTGTCATATTATGTGTAACAGATAGGGAAGATAAACACCAGATGTTAACAGTTATTATCTGTAGGTGGCAAATATTATATGTTTTTACTTCCTTTAAAGAAAATACAGGAAATGACAGAGACCTTTTATTAATTTGTTAATAAGAAAACCTCCACAATGTTATTTTATAATGATCTTTGTGTAGCAGTTCAGGTTATTGGGCTATGAGGGTCTGAGCTAGGGTAGACATAATGGAAGTGGAGAGAAGGGGACAGGAGGACTTGAGGCAGTGTGAACTGAAATGAGACTGATTTTATTTGGGGTCTGTGGGAAAGGAAGGAGTGAAAGTTGGTGCAATTTTGAGCATGCGGGACAGGTATGTGCCTCTTCCTACCATGCCAACTGTCCAGGTTTCTCGGAAAGACACAGGACTTATTTTATGACACCCTCCTCCCCAGTCTGATCAAACCTTTTCTCCAGGTGTCTTAGGTGCCTTCTGAGCAGTTGTTTCTTCTTCATTATGAGCAACAGATATTTATAAATCTTCATTCTGTTACTTTTTCTCCTTGATATATAGGATGTATAAAATGAAAACAAAAATATAGTTAGTGAATAAACTCTGTTGCTTCATCAGTTCTCAGAGAAAGCATCTTTACCCTCCTAAAATATCAGTAGAGCATTTTGAAAAATGCCTCAGACTTCTGCAAGAGTATATTTTTGTCAGGTATAATAAGGTTAAGTTGACATACAATAAAATTCACCAATTTTGACCGTACAATTTGATGAGATTTGACAAATGTATACAGTTGTGTAACCACTACCACAAACATTAGGTATGACATTTCTTTCACTCCAAAAAATTCCCTCATGCCATTATGCACTTCATTCCCTTACCCTGCCTCCTGGCTCCTGTTATCCACTGTTCTGCTTTTAAAGTTTTGCCTTTTCTAGATGCATATACGTGGAATGATAGCATTTGTAGTCTTATGTGTTTGGCTTCTTTCACTGAGCATAATGGAAACACTTTAGGATTCATCCATGTTGTTATATTTATCAGTAGTTTATTCCTTTTTATCACTGAGCATAATGGAAACACTTTAGGATTCATCCATGTTGTTGTATTTATCAGTAGTTTATTCCTTTTTATTGCAGTGGTAGTCCACTGTGTGGATGTGCCACGTTTGTTTATGCTTTCACTGCTGATTGATAACGTAGGTTCTTCCAGTTTGCGTCTGTTACTGTTGAAGCTGCCATGAACATTTGCTGATAAGTCTTTGTGTAGACATAGGAGGGTTCTTCAAAAAGTAAAGATTCAGGGCTGAGCCTGCGGCGCACTCGGGAGAGTGCGGCGCTGGGAGTGCAGCAGCGCTCCCGCCGTGGGTTCGGATCCTATATAGGGATGACCGGTGCGCTCACAGAGCTCACTGGCTGAGCGCGGTGCGGCCTGTCTCAAAAAGGACAAAAAAAAAAAAAAAAAGTAAAGATTCATATTGTCTCTTAATTCCATTTTTCCATGAACTTTTTGAAGTACTCTCGTATGTTTTCTTTTTCTGTTGGATTAATACCTGAGAGTGGAAGTGATGGGTCATATGGTAAATATACATAGTTTAACTTAATGAGAAACTGCCAACTGTTTTCCAAAGTGTCTGTACCATTTTGCTTTCTATCAGCAATATATGAGAATTCCAGTTGCTCCACATCTTTGCCAACACTCATTGTGATTTTTAACTTGCATTTCTCTAATGGAGTTGAGCATGTTTTCATGTGCTTATTTCCCATCCATATATCTTTGTTGGTGAAATGTCTGTTCATAGATATTGCCCATTTTTTATTGCTGTTGATGCTGCTGAAGTTTTAGAGTTCTTTATACTGGATGTAAGTCCTGAATTGGATATATTTTTTGCAGATACATCCTTCCAGTTTGTAGCTCAGCTTTTCATTTTCTCAACAGTGTCTTTTCAGGAACAAAAGTTTAGTTTTGAGTTATTTAAGTACCCTTAAATTATGTGCTTTTTATGTAGTATGGTTCAATAGTTAAAACAGATTTTGCAGAAATTCTTTTTTCTCACCCACAAGAAAGATGTATATCAAACATCATAAAAAGTGCTGAATGAATAAAATTAAAGCCTTAAGGTGGAAGACTGTGGTAGTAGAACAGCGATTTTTTTTTTTTTTTTTTTTTTTTTTTTTTTTAAGTAATTTAAAACTGACCCTGGTTAGGGAAGAGGAGATTTTACGGTAGCCATTGTTTACTTAGCCAGACTAAAACAGAATTTATTCTGAAGATTACTTAGAGAAACATATATTACACTAACATTATCTAACATTTTGTTGACACTAGTAGAATTTTTCATTTTTTAAAGTCATGTAACACATTTTGGGTAAATTAGAAATGGAACTTTTGTTTGTGATCTATGCAGGCTCATATCAGTGAAGGATTTCCTGTGTGCCGGAGGGTTTGACAGAAAATGTGATTGTTAGGCTAAGGCCTATTTTAAGAAATCTATTTTTAATTTATGACACCTATTTCATTTTGAAAGTCAGAGCCAACTTTTAAGAATTATTAAAATGAAAAGCCTCAGGGGGAAAGATTGTCATTGTCCTTGTCTAAAATCTTTTCCTTATCTCAGTTTTTTTTTTTTTCCCTTTCAAGGAAAAAATCATTGATTTACTATAACTCATTGTTTTTAGTGACTCTTGGTATTAAAGTCTGGTCTAATTTCACAAGTAGTATAAGAATACATTCTCATGGTAAAAGATTTAAAAATGTATACAGAATGAAGGGTGAAAATTCTTCATTTTTCCTCTTGAATTCCTTGTCTCTATTGTCAATTTAGGATGCATCCTTAGGGTCCCCTTTCTGTGCACACACACATACTAATATACAAATATATACAGTTTTTTGTTTGTTTTACACTAACAAAATTATTTTACTGTGACTTACTTTTTAACTTAATAGTCTTGAGTAATCTTTCCAAGTCATTTCATATGGATACACCTCATTCTTTTCAATGAGTGCATGATGTTCTATGGTGTAGGTAAACCATAAATTATTTAATTACTTCTTAGGAATCTTAAGGGCTCTTTTTTTTCTTTTTTCTTTTTTCTTACCCTGTTACAGATAGCTTACAGTGATGTCCTTGTTTATATATGCCTTTGTGGGCATATGAAATATTTCTTTAGGATAGGTTTATGGAAGTTGAATTGCTGGGTCAGAAAGTATATGGGCATTTTAAATTTTGATTTATATTGGCCATTTTCCTCCAGAAGAGCTTAAAATGACTTCTTTAAGGAGTGTAGACTTTCCCTTATTTCAAAATGATTGCCATGACACTACCTTCTTTATACTTCCATTTACCCTGAAGATAAGAGACCTTCTGCCTTTTTAATGCTTCCTGTTTTTCTGTTTCTATTCAACATTTCATTTTCTGGGTTTATACCATGTGCCAAGCTCTGACCTGTGTGCTAGATTGGAGGATGGCCCTTGCATTCAGCAAGTTCTGAACTTACAGATGCCATTCAATGTTCTTGCCACACCAATAGGATCTGTCATTACACCCCATTACTGTTACTAAGGATTTTTGCAACAGAGGCTTGGGTTGCTTTTTAGTATAAGTTATGGCCTATTTTATAGAAATGTTTTATAATATTCAAAATAATATTAATGAGCCTTAATTAAAAGTTCATTAAGTATATTGTATAAAGGTATGTCTAGAGGTATTATATAAAGTATATTGTAAAATGTGTGAGACACTTACATGCCAAATATTTTTTTTTCAATACAGGAATGGGTAGGACAAGTGGAAATAAGTGCTCTTTCTCTTATGTACAGGTAAGCACTGTAATAAGTAAACAAAAATAAAATCAGGGAATTAGTATATTTCATTATGCTAAAAATGTTAAAATAGCAAAGCTGTTTTATACCTTGGTTGTGAAGCATCTTTTCTAAGGTTTTTTCTTTTCTTTTTTTAATTGCATCAATTAGGTTATGACATTTAGATATGTCAACTTTAGAAATTTTAATTCTCAAAATATTTTTGGAAAAAGGCACAGTAATTTTTCCAGGCTATGTCCTATAAACTGTCACTTATCAGTATTACCGAAAAATGATTTCCTACTTTCTCTGGGCCAGTAGCATTGAATGGCTACTAGAACAGAACTAAAATACATTATTACTCAATTTTACTACTGTTGTCCAGTAGAGGAGCAGGTGAATACTTTGTTTTTTTCTTTTCAAAATGTTGTTTAAATTTCATCTTCATGAGTTCTGTGATTTTGAGGTCTCTCTTTAAAGTTATATCTGAATTTATGTTGTGTGTAAATTATATTTGAAATTTTATTTTTTAGAAGAGATACTTTTATATAGGTATTTTATAACGTCGCTGTTTCGTTACTATCTTTTGTTTACTGCTTTATCCTTAGTATTGCCTAGCACATATTAGGCTCTTGATAAATGAATGAATGAGTGAATTATTAAATTTAAATTTATAATATATTCCATTAGAAATAATTTCTAAATGTTATTTTCAGGAAAGATTTTATAATTTATCAGGAACCAAATGTTTCTCCTTCACAAGTAACTGAAAATAACTTTCCTGAAAAGGTAAGAATTTCTCAGAGTTTTTGTAGTGGATTTAAGTAAAAGAACCATTCAGTTGCTACCTTGACCTCCTAAGCTATAATTTTAAATGACTTGAAATAATTCTTTATGAAGGTTATGGTATTGTAACTTTTAAAAATTTTCTATTAATCATCATCGAGTCATACAGTTTTGAATTTCCCCCCCAACAAATTACTGTGTTGAACCCTTTTATAACGTTTCAGTGGAGACACTGAAAAAAATTATGGGACACTAGCGTATATGGTGAATTAGACTATTACTGTTTTATGTCAACATAAACATTAAATAGTAAAATAACTTGTAAAAATAGGTTCTGCCATTGAATCCAGGAATACTTTGGTAATCATATATATTTTCCATTGTAAAGGTAATTTTACTGGCAGTGGTGTTATTGCATTATTTGGTCAAAAGCAGAAACAACTGAAAAATTACGTGAAATCTAGAAAAGAAAAAAAAATTCACCTCATTCTCTTATGAGAGAATTTTGTTTTTTAAGGATTTTCTTACATTAAGGATTTTTTTTTTTTTTTTTTACAAATTACCCAGCCTTAGGTATTCTGTTATAGCAGTGTAAAATGGACGAGGGCAACTACTCAGCCACAAAAAGGGATGAATTACTAATACATACAACATGAATGAACCTCAAAGAAGTCTTGCCAAGCAAAGGAAGCCAGACACAAAGGACTATGTGCTTTGATTTCGTTTATGGGATGTTCAGGGACATGCAAAACTACTGTTTTGGAGTCATGCAGGCCAAGTTGAAGTGTCTTGTGTGTCACCATGCTAGTGGTGGTTAAGAGGGAGGGTAATTGAATGAAATACCACAGTTCTAGGGACTTGGGGATTTCCAAGGACTTTGCTCTGGATCTGGTCTTTCCAATACAATTTTTGGAATATGACATATTCTAAACAAAATCAATGTACACTTCTTTTTGTATAAGTAATTGACTATTTAGAAAGTACTTAAATTAACACTGTAAAGAAGCAGAAAATATTTATCTTTATGTTTCTTAGAGGTTAGTATTAATAAGGTTTTGGTTTATTTTTTTTTAACAGTCTTTTAACTTTCTTGTTCTTTAAGTAGTTGAAATCATGTTTTCATATATTGTGTCTGTTTGCTTTGATTCTATAAACATTTTCCCAAGCCATTAAGAATTTTTTGGTTTATTGGCTGTATCGCATTTTAGCATATGGATGTACCATAGTTGTACATGTAACATTGGCTCTTTAGGTTGCTTCTAAAATATTCACTTTCTGTTTGGAAGTTATCTGATAACTCAGAGGCATTGGAGACATAAGTTGCTTTGTAAATGTCGTGTATATAAAGGGCTGAAATATGTCTTATTTTTCCCTTTCAGGTATTACTGTGTTTTTCAAATGGAAATCATTATGATATTGTGTATCCCATAAAATATAAAGATAGCTCTGCTATGTGTCAGTGTAAGTATCACCTTATGTTTATAGAGGACATTTTATTCATAAACTATATAGCCTAAATGCAAACAAATCAGAGTAAATATATTCTTTTCTGTTGTAATATAAAAAATATTTCTAAGAAGCTTAGGTTACCAAGAATATTAATGTTATAGTAAAATCTTGTTTCAATAGGAAGAAAAAAGGAACCAGTGGCTAGAGTTTGACTTGGAAACACAAAGTTATTTTTTTCTGCAGTAAGTTCAGTAATAAGGACTTACATGCATTTTTAAAGCTGTTAGTGTATATATAGCTTGAAAATCCAAATGCTGAGCAAGTCAAACATTGGCTTGTATTTGGCACTAGGGCAGATTTCTTAACCTTGGCAATATTGATAGTTTGGGCCAGATAATCATGTTTTGTGGGGCTCTCTTGTTTAGTAGCATCTCTGGCCTCTACCCAGTAGATGCCAGTAACACTCCCTGTCCCTCATTTTGAAACCAAAAATATCCCGACATTTTGCCAAATGTTTCCTGGGTGTGTGGGTGTGTGTGTGTGTGAGAGATTTTCCCCTTCCCCTCCTCCCATTTGAGAGCTACTGTAACCATTATCTACTTTATCATCTGTTCAGACAAAGCACAAATCACTCATACAAAGCATGTACTGGGCATGTAACAGCTTTTTCCTCTGTTTTTAAGCTAGTGGTGACTAGTAAAGATATGTGTGATGCAGTTTTTTAAAATTAATTGATCCATTTTGAGATATGAAAATCTAGCTGTATGTATACTGGTTTGTGTCTTCCTCCTTCCCCAGCCAGTAAAATCTGGACATTTCAGCTTTGGGAAGGATAGCTCCTGGAGCCTGCCTTTCCTATACTTCTAAGTGCCTGTGGTTTGGGTGATACCAGGGGTCTGTCTCGTAACCAGAATCTGGAAGAAAGATGGTATGAAAGAAGGAGGTCTCTTTGAGGACTCATTTAGAGGGCGGGCACCCATCATTGATGAATTCTTAGTGTACTTGTTTTCATAAAGCTCCCTATAATAAAACCAAATGAAAGTCTTAAAATCCATGTGTTTTTGAATTTTTGGTAAAATATATTTCCTTGTTTTCAGGACAGGAAGGTTTTGTTTATTTGTTTTTTTTTTTTTTTTTTAAAGCAACAAAGTCATCTAAATATGTGTCTTCCCTTCAGTGGCTGCTGAGAATGCATTTTATAACAGTTTCTTTTTAGTTCCTTACGTAAAATTAAAATCTGGAGCTAAATTATATAGTCAAACATTCTTTTGCTTTATGGAAACCCAAGAAGTGCCTAGTCCAAAGTTACAGTTAGTAGGAAAGCTAAGACTAGCATCCAAGCCTTCTGACTTGTCAGCTAGTGCAGTCTTTATTGTGTTCCTCTTTTTAGCCATCTTAATGTTTTCCATCCAAGTCTTTTAAGGTCAGTCATGCTGTATGACATCCCTAAGTTTCAGTTTCTTCATCTGTACAGCCAGAAAGAATAATACTTCAATGTGCTGAGATTAAATATGACGATACGTAAAGGCATAGCACAGAGTGTGTAGGATGTAGTAATTGCTCAGTCTGTATGTTTAGCTTTTCATGTCATATTTGTTTCACAATTGTCATACCTTTTTGTGTTATTTTAAAAAATGGCAGTATCTTAGTGATTTCAAACTACAGTACTTAAGTGCACAGACAAATCTAGTTGCTCTCTAGGTAACCTTCTGATTAAATTGTGTTATTGACAATTAGATGTTGCAGATGTCCAGTTAGGATTTTAGAAGCCTGAGCAATAGACAGTCACATTTTTATGCTCTGTTCCTGTTTTTAAAAAACTGCCTGTAGTTAATGTTGCATAAAGTCTCTCTCATTAATTGCAGCTCTCCTTTATGAATTGCTGTATGAGAAGGTATTTAAAACTGACGTTAGTAAAATCATGATGGGACTAGACACCTCTGAAGTAGCTGATGAGAACAACAGTGAAATATCAGATTCAGAGGATGACAGTTGCAAGTAAGAAAAATTTAAATCCTAAAATATCTTTCTAGTGCCCTACAAAGAAACATTTCAATAAATATTTCTTCATGGAGTTGTTTCATATATTCAGGAGAGTTATGGTATTCATAAAATACAGCAATCTGCAGTAGAAGTTTTTTTTTCTCTGCCACTGATTTTACCTAATTTCCATTATGGCACTGTTCCTTTTAAAAGTCATTGTTTTTGGTTGATGAGAATGTCTATGTAATGTAGAAGTATATCTGTAGAATAGATTTGGTCCTATCTATATGTGTATATATAGTAAAATTTTAAAGTTAACCTTTCAAATGTTTACATATCCATTGATGAAAAATATGGCTGTTTAGATTTCCTTGACTTTCTTTCATTGTTTTCCTCCTTAGATAGTGCCTCCTTTTCTTTAGATAATTAAAATCCAAAATTTGGGTTCTAAGAATGTGAGCAGCTCTGGATAATGCCTCTATATAGATTGTAAACTTAAACCTTTTTTTTTTTTTTTCCCTTTTTGTCTTTTTTCGTGACCGGTAACGGGATCGCAACCCTCGGTGTCACGCCTGCACCGCGCTCAACCAGTGAGCGGACCGGTCTCTATATGGGATCTGAACCCTTGGCGAGAGCGCCGCCGCGCTCCCAAGTGCCGCACTCTACCGAGTGCGCCACTGGGCCGGCCCTAAACTTATACCTTTTAACATAAAGTCACTGAGGCCTATTTTTCTTTTCCACACAAGGCATACAGGGTAGTGCTTAAGAGCTTGGGCTCTGTACATCTAAATCTAGTTTCAGTCCTGGCTTGCTACTAACTGGACTTGAGGCAAGTTACTTAAATTTTCTAAGAAGCCTCAATGCGGTAGCCATAAGATGAGGATATATCAGTATTTCCTTTAAGGGGAGAATTTGTGAGGAATGGGATAGTATGTAAAGTGCATAGCGTAGTCCCTAGATATAATAGTCAACATATATTAGTTGTTATCAACAGTATTAAAGTTTACTTATCTTATATAAGAACCAACCTTATATTTCCATTGAAGCTAAAAGTACATTATTCCTCTTGTATGAGGTTATGAAAGTATCCTACTTGGTGTGTTACACACTGATGCTAGAGATAGAAATGGAATTTAAGCCTTAGGATATCTAATTTTTTATTACAAAAATACTTAAAAAAATGTATATATGTGTCTTGATTTGTAATTTCAGTCATTTGTTGGATTAAACTTCCCTGATACTGATTGAAAATTTAACTGCTGTTTCTTTCTAACCTGAATCAGTGTGTGCCATTGTAAGTTTAACCCTAGAACAGACTAATTATGTTTGTACAGATAGAAATTCTGCTCCATGATTCTACCCAGGCACCTATCTGGGTAAGACATGTTATTGAGCATAAGGGAAGTTGGAATAACTTCCTTTGTTGTAAGTAGTTAGAGAATAACTAACTAACTTGTTGTAACTTATTGCCTGTGGATGGAGTGTGGAGGACTTGTGGCACATGCCTTTGATTGCTGCTGCTGTTAATAGTATTAGCAGTTGGGTCTGGGATGGCAGTTGACAAGTGAAGAGGCTAGTAAGCTGGAGAAGTTTATCAGGGAAAGTGGAGCAGGTGTGTAAGAAGATGTGTTCATTATTGTGCTCAGTTTTTCTTTTTATACTGTATTATTGTAGCCCTTGGAATATGGATTGCCTTTTCTGCATTATTAAAACGTTTTACTTGTGTCATGTCTGACTTAGGACAAAGCTTCAATTAGGGAAGAAGAATGCTGTATAATCATGGCAAGATAGATAGGCATAGAGTGGTAATAAGGCGGGAAGACCGAGGATGTACTATATACTCTAGTGCCTGAATTCTTTGCATATTCAAATTGGCTGGTCTTGAAGTACTGGAAATTATGAATGATTTTCTAGTCTAAACTCTAGATACTTGGAGTCTGGTAAATATTGTTGCAGTTAAGGGTGTATTCTTGGAAATTATCTGGAAAACTATAGATTGATTTATTAAGGAGGAACTGTAGAACAGAAGAGTAGAAGTAGGTGCAGGTCAGAGCCTCTCTCATCTCATGTGCCGCTTGACCCATCATCACTCTGTTCCACTCTCACCAGCCTCTTGGCCACTGTAGGGTCTTTGTATGTGCTGTTTCCTCTGCCTGGAATACTAAATAGCCATATGGTTTGTTGTCACACAACCTTTCTTTATCTAAAAAGACATCTCAGCAAGTCCTTTCCTCATCCCACTTTTTATTATTTGAGCTTGCATCCCTATGCTATCACTTTTTCCTACCTTTTTCCTCCCGTAGCACTTATCAGTAAATATGTTAAATGCTGATTACTTATTTAGTTTGTTTCTACTGTCACTAGAATGTATATTTCATGTGGGCAGAGTTTTTGTCTGTTTTTTTCACTGTTAGACCCTAGCACCTAATAATACATAATGCCTGGCACATAGTAGGCACTCAAGTATTTGTTGAGTGAATGAATGTAAAATGCATAGGCATTTATGCTACAGTGAATTCAAAGGGCTGGTGACGGTTTTTCGTTGTGTTAGGGTAGATGTTAATTGTATGCAGATACATATTCTGCTTCTAATTATGGTTATGTTTCTTCCTTCATAGGAATAAAACTACCACTGCTAATGACATGAATGGATTTAAACCTTTGGCAGGCGATGAGGTATTTTATTTAGAATGGTTTTAACTAGTTCCTTAATCGTAAGGATGCTAGAGATGGGGGCCAGTTTGGGAAGTGATAGGTCAGGCAAAGGGCATAAAGAAATATCACTATTTGTAAGAATGAATATGCTAATAATAAAATGAAAAAAAGAGTAAAGTTACTATTAACATTTAAAAAAAATGGTCTTAACTAATTCTTCAATATAAGAAAGCATATGAATTTAGTTTAATTTTTTTTTTAACGGTACATTTTCAGTAGAGTCAAGGCCATTTACTAGTAAGAAATTTATGGATGACTACTAATTTTTTGAAGGTTTTTTTTCTTCATTTGATTTTACTCTTATACATATCACAAACAAAAATGTTTTAAAAGCATTTCGGTGTTGATTGGACTTCCTGACTTTGTTTAGCATCCAAAGAACAATGGGGAATCTACTAGCCTTTCTTTGTCTAGAAAGGTTCTTAAGTCACTCAATCCAGCAGTCTATAGAAATGTGGAATATGAAATCTGGCTGAAGTCTAAACAAGGTGAGTTAAAAATGTGTGCATTTTTTATAAATTTGCTTTGTGGTACTTCAAAATAATTAAGTTAACTTTATATTATATTGATTTTTTTTTTTTTTTTTTTTTCAGCTCAACAAAAACATGATTATTCCATTGCTGCTGGCTTACAATATGAAGTTGGAGATAAATGCCGAGTAAGTGATTTGTATAAAGAAGAAAAGATTTTACTTGAAATCTTGCTTTTTCTAATAGGAACCAAGAAAACAGCTGAGGTTTGAATGTGTTGTTAATTTGGAGTTTCAGAATATATTTATCATGTATACATTTTAATATTTAGCTTTTTGACCCATTTGAATACATTAGTAAAATTGTACAAGTATTATCTAAAACCATGACATTCCATCACATGATCTTTAAAAACAATTCAGCCTTTGGTATTACATGCTTCAAAGAAGTAACAATGACATTTCAGATATTTAGGTGTTTTCATTACAATTGGCAAATAATTTATTGAAATTGATTCAGACTTGACTTACCACTCAATTTGTTTTGTTTGTGAAAGTTATCCTGGAAGATTTTGATACATACATAATGTTTTTCTGTTGGACTGAGGAGGGAGAGTGAACCATAAGTTTTGTCATTTATTTTCTTTTTTTTTTTTTTTCTTTTTTTGTCTTTTTTCGTGACCGGCAACGGATCGCAACCCTCAGTGTCGCGCCCGTACCGGACCAGGACCGGCAACGGGATCGCAACCCTTGGTGTTGCGCCCGCACCTCACGCAGCCAGTGAGCGGCCGGTCTGTATGTGGGATCCGAACCCTCGGCGGGAGCACCGCCGCACTCCCAAGCGGCGCACTGTAGCAGTGCGCCCCTGGGCCGGCCCTTGTCATTTATTTTCTTTTTTTTTTTTTTTCTTTTTTTGTCTTTTTTCGTGACCGGCAACGGATCGCAACCCTCAGTGTCGCGCCCGTACCGGACCAGGACCGGCAACGGGATCGCAACCCTTGGTGTTGCGCCCGCACCTCACGCAGCCAGTGAGCGGCCGGTCTGTATGTGGGATCCGAACCCTCGGCGGGAGCACCGCCGCACTCCCAAGCGGCGCACTGTAGCAGTGCGCCACTGGGCCGGCCCTTGTCATTTATTTTCAATAAGCATACTGCCTGGGATTTGTAGCCAGTTGTTAAAGGGAAAAGTTGGATTAGATCAGTGTTTCTCAACCTGGGTGATTCCCAACTCCCTACTCCCCCGCCTCTGGGACATTTGAGCGTCTGGATACATTTTTTATTCTCATAACTGGGAGGGTGCTACTGACATCTAGTGGGTAGAGGCCAAAGATGTTTTCAAACATCCTACAGTGCACAGGACAGTCACCCCAGAACTCACTCCTCGCTGCCCCCAAACAATTATCTAGTCCAAAGTGTCAATAATGCTAAGGCTGGAGAAACTTTGGATAAGATAATTTACAAGATTCTTTTTCTGTTTTTTTTTTTTTTTTTTTTTTAGCAGAAAAATACTAGTATTTCAAAAGCAAAAACCCCACATGCACAAAAAATATCGGAAGTTCATTTTCATCAGAAATGTTTTCCATCAAAAAGTGTTGCCTTTTTAAAAGTACTTTAAAATAGCTGTTGACAAACATTTTTTCCTTGTGGAGGAAACACTTATTTACTTTATAATAAATTGGTTTATGTGAAACGTATCTGACTGACCAGGATTATATCTGGGGCATCAAAAATGGACTTTACCTTAAGAACCTTTAATAGTATTCTGATTCTGGGGTATTTGAAAGGTGATGAAGAAGAGGATATGATTCAGTTAGGTGATTTCTTTACAGGATTGTCAGAAATGTGCCCCAATCGTAGAAAAGAGTTGTGGAAGGTTTTACTGTATTTATGTGGAAAACTTGAAAGAGAACAAAGAGAAGGAAGGATAAACAAAAGTTTTTCTTTCTTTTAGGTAGAAATGTGGAGATCTGGGAGGTTAGCGAGATGGGTTTTATTGTACACCCTTTTGACCTTATTTTTACCAATTAATGTTCATTTTCTTTCTAATTGAAGACAAAATAAGTTAAAGACTGATCATTAATGCAAAAGATGCAGGTGACTGATTTTTTATTTCTGGAATTGTTCGACAGGTTAGGTTAGATCACAATGGAAAATTTTCTAATGCAGACATTCAAGGAGTTCACTCTGAGA